GCAGCCAAATGATAATGAAAAACAAAGGCCTTAGCTATTGCAACAATTTACAAGGTCACCTAAGTCGAAAGAGGATTCAAATAGAAAACTATAGCTGAAGCAGAAAACTTAAACAAGGTTCAAAACTAGGTCAAAACATTAATAAGAATGCTTTAAACATGTCAAAGAATTCAAACTGATTATTGGCACAATATTGTCATTAAAATACAGCAGTACTAACTTCAAACAAACTTTTAGCTCTGTTTTCTGATAATACCAAGCTGCCCCCAAAAAAATGGTTCATTGTGCTTACTTTAGTTAACAATGTTATCACTAAAAGGTTCCGTATATGTTAAGCAATCCAAGGAAAAACAAATGGCCTATAAGCAAAGCGGCCAAACATGAATATAAAGCCACAGCAACTCCAAACTTATCCAAACATGAGACAACACCACTCAACAAAACATAGAAATATTGCACAATTAACCCTTTTTTCCACCTTAAATCTTCACCGCTGCATTTTATTAACCATATTATCACAAACAATCCGTCTAATTTATATAGTTCTAGTCACTTCTCCTCATTAATAACCAATTCATCCGAACATTTTCATTTCTGGCGTTCAATTTAAACTTATATACAAAATTAAACAAAGAAAAGCAAAATATTATACAAATAATTACACATAATAGTAAAAAAAAAGGAAAAATTTAAAGCTACACCTTTCATTAATCTTGCTTCTTCTACGTTGCTCAGTCTCAGAATGTTTAGACCGATTCGTATTCGCCTTTTGCTCGCTTCCTTTGCCTTCTTTCACTGTTTCCCCTATTTTTACCCAAAAAAATCCCATTTTAATTAAAAACAAAATTATAAAAAATAATAACATCAATTGCTCCAATTCTTAAAGAAAAAAAAAAACCTTTATCTTCGTAATCATCTTCGTCTTCTTCTTCCTGATGAAGCTGAGCCGTTGCCACAGGTTTCACCATTTAAAAAAAAATTTTAAAAAATCTATAAAAATTCTATGCAAGGAAAAACAGAGAGGGAGCGGCCGGGCGGGAAATGGAGCACCGGGAGAGAGGTTCGAATGAGTCAGGCGGGTCAGGTTTTGCAGAAAGAGGGAACGGAGAAATAGTAGGATATATATTTTTTTTCCTTTTTCGCCCTAAGAAAAATGGGTGGAAAAAGGGAATATTTAAAAATTGCGGATTGATTGATTGATTGATTGATTGAGTTTTTATTGTTTTAAATATTGTTGGTTTGATTTTTTTGTCGTGCTATTTTTTTATTGATTAATTCTTTAAATTTATGATGGTAGTGGTGGGTGCTAATGTGCGCGTGTTTGGTGACGTTTAAGAAGAGGCACACTTGGGAGAAAGAATATTTTAATAATTATATACGCATTTTAGTATTTTTATTTTTTTTAATGGTGATTCTATTATTCGTTTTACTATTTTTTTTCTTCCCAAATGATCGGCTTTCTTGGTTTATCTTATGAAGAAATAAAAATAGAATGAGTTGAATTTACGAGTTTAAAATTCACTCATTTAATAAAATAAAGCCCATGTAGTGTTTATGCTTTCATGGTACTTTGAATATAGCTCAATCATTTTAAATATAATTTTTTGGAGGCATTTGATAAAAAGAAAAACTTAAGTTGATTTTATTTTTAAAAAAAACATTACAATGGGTTTAAGATTTTAAACTTATCCTTATTCCTAACTTCAATTCAAATGCATTTTGGCTATTAACTAATTATTATTCCTTAAAACTATTTTACATCAGTATAATAACATGCAAAGAGTAATGGCAATAACTAGAACAATTAGAATAATTGATTCAAGTGAATAATAATAAAATTAACTCAAAATAAATGACATTATTTATAAATTATTTTAGATATTTTAAAAAATTTGATGATTTACATATAAAGATGATTAAAAGTCCTTCTTAACCTTTTCTTACTGTTGCAAATTCCAACTCTTCTTTACCTGTTTTTTTATTATTATTATTGTCTTACCAATTGGAACACATAATAAAAAAAACATGGTTTGGGTTTGCCCCCCGAAATCTTAAAAGGGGTGAAACCGAAGAATGTTTATAATAAGATGTTAAGACTTTTGAGCCTTATGGCTTTGTCCTTTTTTAACTAGTATTATATTTACCTCAATGAAACAAGTAGCGAAGGGGAGTTGCTTTAGTTTATTTATAATTAAAGTCAATATATAGTTTTTTTTTTTTTTATATTGGTCTAATTCCAAGACCAAGTCGTTCATCTTCTTTGAACATTTAATAGCTTGAATGATGGGCCAAGTTTAGTTTTATGCTTAGCATAGCTAAAAGCTAGCAACTCCATTAACCTTTGCGCTGTATGCACACCAAGATAGCAATCTTAAAAGTGATCCACCCAAACTAAGCTCCCCTTTCTTTATGTTTGCTCATCTTGCTTCGGTAGTCTCTTAATTTACGAAACGAAGCCCCCAAGATATATTCGATGCACAGAGAATGTTAAACTGTGTTTTATGTCTTGGTTGATTGATGCTCTTCCATGCCATCTTTTTGGGTTTCAAGTGTTTTAGGGTAAAGCAAGATATGTCATGTATCTTTTTGTAGAGGGTTGATAGGGAGACAGGTAATATCGAATGTGTTGAAATTTGAGAAGTGACAGAAAAGAATATTAGAACAAATATTGTTACAAACTCGTTATGTATAAATTAATGGAGTAATAAACTTGTTTCATCGATTTCATGGTATTTAATAGTGCAATCACTTATTTTTTAAAAAAATTTAAAAAAATACTTGTATTGCAAATAAAAATTAGTAAAAGACCTTCTTAATTACATATATATCTAAATCACTAAATTTAATTTTTAAAACATCTCAAAAATGAAACTATATTCTTTGAATTCTATCACTCATTTTGAATTACTTTTACTATTATGCAATGTGATATAACTCTTTTATTCATTCAAGTCACTCATTGTTGCTTTTTTATATAATTTTATATAAAATTAAAAAAATAATATATTGAATAACCAAAATGGAGCGTTTATACTTAAATAAATATAGCACAATTAACGTCAACAAAAGGACAGTGATGAAATAATTTATGGGGTACGTAGAGACAAAGGAGGCAACCCTTTTAAAGGGATCACTGGTTTTTCCTTTTAAGTTTGAAAACGTCACGTTGCAGACAGACTAGTGGTCTCTTCCATGATTCTTGAGGTTAACAGAAGCTGAAGCTTTATGTTCCAGGAGGAATTGTATGCTGAGTTTCAGCATGCGCATAAAGTTGGGTGGACTTTTCTGTTCATATTTTTGTGTGTTTAAACTTTAAATCATAAGTCTTTTTATGTATTTTCTTTTCAAAAAAATTGATCATATATATATATATATATATATATATATCCATTCAATCACACTTTTAAAACTTTGTTTGTTTCGCTTTGAAGTTGTCTACCAAAGATACATATAACACTAGTTACTTTTATTTCATTTTTTTCAATTTGATAATTGTGTTTAACTGACTCTAACTGTAAAATGTATTGTACATTTATTTATTTATTTAATGTTTCTATATGGTACATAATACTATGAAAGTTGCTGATCCCTTACACTTATTCAGTGGCTTCTTGAACATAAAATACAAATCTTCGAAACTAAAGCTTTACCCACCAAAGTGATCATTTGTTGTAAATGTCTTTCATTATCCTTTTAACAAATACACTGCAAAGTTCTAGAGATGGGAATGGAAAAAGCAACCCTGTGCTGCAGCCAAGAGGCCTTGTTTAGTGTTTAAGACTTGGTTTTGACTGCTAGTTTGCAACAGCCATGAGCCATACATGAGTGGTGATGGATGCTAGAGGATTACCCAAAGTGTACTTTATGACTGAAATGCTTGACTGCAGCAGAAATTGCAGCCTCGGGGCCACTTGATTTAGCATTTTTGATGCTGTCAAATCCAGCAGTTTTTGGGTAGGCATGGCAGCACAAAGACGGTAACAACTTTAAAAATGAGGCACACGAGCTCCGCTTCTTATCTTTGCTCATCTTGGTCTAGCCTGTTTAACCCCTCTTTTAGCAAAACAAAAGAAAACCCAACAAAGAAATTCGATGAAGGGAGAAAATTTAAGTGGCGTTTTGTTGGGTTGATTGATAGTTTCTTCCATGGGATGTTGGGGGATTATAAAGGAAACATTTTCTGGGGATCAATCCAATTTTGTATGGACCATGGAATTCGATTATTGAAGACAAAGATTGTTACTAGAGGTTGAAATCCACTCGGCCTTTTTGACCAATGGCACTCCGCTGACCCCCGGCTGTTCCAGGGTTTTTCAGCTTGTAGTTGCTTGGAACCTGTGTTAGCAAGGGTGGTAAAAAGACTAGCATGCTTAGCCTCCAAGGCTGCTGAAACGTCAATTCTCCTTCCAATCTGAATTTTAGCATGTGGATAAAGTTGTGTGAAGCTCTTCGTTTGTACTACTGATAAAGCAAGTCCAAGGAAATTTCAACATGACAGCAACTTTGATATTTTGGCTGTTCTTTCTATTCAGATTGGAAAATCTATGGGGGACATTAGATCAAATGATAAAACGGTATCTGAATACATTTGAGGCCATTGGGTACTTTGGATTCGGGTTAACTTTGGTTGATACTTTTATCAGAATTTAGGAGTAAAGCTTTTGAACATTGAAAAATCAAGATTGCACTCTCAGGTGACTGGCACAGCAATCAGGCACAAGAAACACTGAAAGCACGATAAAAGATGGTGCAAGATTTTCTTTGTTTCAAAAGGGTGATTGCCTATTCAGAATTTTAGAACCATGATTTTCTGGACAGAGAAATATGTTAGTTGCCTTTTAGAACTAATACTATGAAAAAGGTTCAGAACTTTGCTTCCCTGTTAATAGGATTATCATATTTATACCTAATGAACTCAATAGGAGAGCATATTTGACTGAGTTGGAAGTGAAGGGTAAACCAAAATCCAAAGCATTAATATATTCAATAACCAATATCCATCACAAAAGGATAAAGAATAGTATATTTAATAATGGACTAAACAAAGACGCCTGTCTAATTTTGTTCTTAATCATGTTACATAAATTTCAAGCATGAAAATCCCTTAAAAATTTTGAGAATTTCCTGAGATATATAACAAAATTTATGTTTTTCCATTAAGAAAACAAGCTAAGACTAGTCAAAATTGGTTGCAGGCTTACATAAAGAGCGGAACTATAGCTTTTTCTGGCGAGGCTAGAATTATATGATCCATTACTATGTGAAAATATCACATCCGATGGATCTGAAAAAGGGTGAGCTAAACTTACAGGCTTAATGAGTGAGAATTTTCTGTTAGGAACCTTGCTTCTCCATCTTGAATCAGACTTCAAGATTCCTTGCTTACTGCAAGTTAGCAGCAGAGGCTATATCTATGTACATTGACACTGCAACGCGCTGCATTTTAGGAACTTAACCAAAAGTTATAAGCTCCTATCGTCAATCCCCACCATCTTCTTCTTGATCCTCAAATTGTGATTCTTCTTTGAGGTTTATATCTTCACCTCCAACATCCTGACTTCCACTGTGCTGAAAAAACAATCCAGATGATGATGGATCATTTTCATCAATATCCTCTTCATTTTCCTTTTCTTTTGAGCTTGAACTTCTTTCACCATCCATCCAAACAGGGCAACGATGTACGACTCCTAGAGCAGTCTGAACTTGCAAGTGCGCTGTGTTACTTGAAGAATTAGATGATGTTTCACCAGAATCAAGCCTCAAGCAAGAACATTCAGGGACTGGATGTGAAAGAAAAGATGAAGACTTTGATTTATTTGATTCTTCGATCAGTCCATCAATTAAAGAGCTCCGCAAATGCCTGCGTATTGTTGTTAACCAGGTATGGTTTGCATGATATATGTGGCCACGGATTTCTTCCAAAAGCCTGACAACTTCTTTCCTATGTTCAAAGAGCATACGATCAGAACATGTTGAGAGCATAAAGAAAGGTTAAAAGGAGAGAACACCTTTCAGTTGGCAACTGAGAAGACTTCCAAACATAAAGGAAAGAGAGAGACAGTTGAGAAGCAATTCTATTATTACTACAGAATATGCAAGTGCCATTTATGCTACAGCACACAGTCACAAATTAGTTCAAACTCCATACCAAGTGAGCTTTTGTCTTTATATCAGGATGAACAACACGTATTTATAAATGGTTATGCAACCCATATGTTGCTTAATTTTCAAATAATCAGGATATAAGTTATGGAATAGAAAAGATTCCCCTGAGACAGATGGAGTTATATATGCTGTCCAACTAATAATGGAAACCATTGAATTAAGAAAAGATTAGTATAAGGAGTGGATGAAAGGATAGAGTAGAAGAACTTTAGAGAGCTTTAGAGAATCAAAAACCGTATTATCAGAATAAAAACCATTTATTGAGCCCTCGCTTATTCAATTTAAGCTTCTAAGCTGAATAGTTCACCTTCTCCGGGATAGGAGATATGAGATAACCACAAACCAAAAATATGCTATGCAGACTGATATAATTTTGTGGCATTAAGTAATTAATCATTCAACTGGCATAACATGTAACCTCCCATGACCTATCTTATTGACTAATCAGTATATCCAACAGATTGCGGTAGAACATTAGCCTGATTACTAATAGAAGTTAAAAGGCTAATTTGACTCCAAGACAATCATTATCTTTCATGAAAATAACATACAACTAAATTATACATCTGTGATTGGCCAAAAAATATAAAATATAGATCTGTAAAACTAATGTGCAAGCATGTCCAGTCAAAGATGTTTACCTGTCTGGCCTGTATGTTTTAGATGCAGCTGATTGATACAATCTGTGTCCCATAACCAGACTGGCAAAATTTGGATGTCCCTTACCATCACGATCAAATCCAGGGATGAAAACATCAGCTTCAACAGAAACAATATAGTCTATTGCTTCCCATAGTAATTTATGGGCATTAGTCCTCAACTCTACAACTGTACTTTCAGGCTCATTATCACTCTCAGCCACCCAACCCCACCACCCTTCAATATTGTAAGTCTTTGGTTTGGCAGGAGGAGGTGGAAGAGGACGAGGACGAGGACCAGAGTTTTTCCATGCATCAAGCTTCATTTCAACCTGAGCAGATGGTGGAGCCTTTGGGTAATTTTCCTCAAGGTTAACCTCACGGCCATAAATTTTACTGAGCTCCCAAACTGTGCTGAGGGAAGTCCTATCAACAACATTTTCAAACATTCCATGAAGAGGGATCAATGTCCTTTGGCCTCCAAAAACTTCTCCTCCAGACACATATATGATTGTGTCCCATGAGTATCCATAAGCACGAAGAAGAATACCAACCTGTACAAAGACAAGTGATTTTTCAACCTCAAGCCATTTTTTATCAAATGGAATGGCTACAATAATTAGCCAGTTAGGAACAGTAGAACCAATTACCACAGGCTGTTTTTAACCCCGTCACAATGACAAACCCACTGTAAAATTTGTCCTGCCTTTATAAAATCTCTACCAGTTAAAAATCATAACCTAACTCCTCTCCACACCATAAATTAAGTGCAAGAGGCAACTTCTAAGGTCAGATGGTAAATTGGCATCTCTGGTCTCAAACAATAAGAAAAAGCATCAAACTGAAGCTTCATAAACAAATGAAGTTCACCAATTGAAAATCACTACACTCATAGTTTTGTACCTCTTCTGGCGTTAATGGACATGAACCCTTGAGGCGTTGTTTTGCAGAATTTACAGATAGCTGCCCCTTTATTATTCCACGTTTTCTCATCCAAGATCTTCTGTGCTGAATGAGCTCAGTATGCACATCCTTGGGGGAAGCTCCAAAAAGAGAAAAAATGTGTCAAATGATGGACAAGATATGCAATAACAGGTTCAGAGAGTAAAAGCACCAATGGTGCCTTTCAGAGTTTAAAGCAGGTACCTGGAAGAGTTCAGAACAACCGTGACAGGCTAAAGCATCTCTTGTCATCCCAGGATCAAAGGCAATAAATGGCCGTCCAGGAGCACGTAACCTTAATTGATAAAACAAAATTAGCAAAAAAGGCCAGAGGAAATGATAGTACAATTTATAACCATGGCCAGTTATTTACCTATGCAAAATCTTAGTTGCCAGTTCCTGAACATCCTCTCGGAACCTAAGGGCGTGAAAAGCCACCCTACATCTGAGTCTTTGATACTCTTCAAGATGTGGTGGAAGAATGGCCTGGATCAGATACAGAAGACATTAGCAACAATTATAAATGCATAAAGAAATTAAAATTTTTATATGATAGAATAACTACGTGTAATGAAGGGTATTTTAACTTCAAGGCTGCAAGATTCCCATTAGTCTTAACTCTTCATCATAAGATATCAGAAGCACAAAAGATTATTTGTGTTAAGAGACTTTCAAAAACAGTCATACAATAGGATGAGCATTAAAAAGTGGGGCAAATGGGGTTGTTAAAATCTAACATGCAAAGCAACATCAGCCATTCTTCACTACAAACAAATCTAAGCAACCAACTGGCTACAATTCTTTAGGAATTTGTTCTGGCATCATAAAGAGAAAGTTTATGGCCTTGATATGGACTTTACACATAACATAAACACAGGGCTAACATTTCTAAGAATGTGAGTACTCAAGATTCAAACTCCAGAATTCGATATCAAACATATTAGAAAAAAACCAAACAATAATGATAAGTTGATAGATATCAATCCAAATTAAAAACCAAGAACCAATTTGGTGCCAAATAAAATGCAAGCATCATTTAGCAATAAGAAGCATGAGTCTAACTATAATTTTTGAGCATACAAAGTTCAAAAAGTTAATCTAACAAAAAAGAAAAAAGTTTAAAATTCAAGTCACAGGATCCACATAAAATTGGCAAGTCTCGTCACCTGCAAGCATCCACCATCAGAAACAACTATTTCAACTACAGAATGCTTGATCAAAACAGGGAGCACATTGTGCAAATAATAATATGGTGAAGCTGAGTGTGGCACTCTGAACACCGGGATCTCCTTATTTCTCCTCGCTGATTTAAGACTTTTAGGAAGGGTTTTCACAATATTAACATCTTTTGCTAGAGCCGCCATGAATTGATCCTCATTATAGAGGTATGCAAAACTCTTGAACTGTGAGCTGCATTGAACATATCACAGAAATTAGTTGACATAGAATAATTATTGATACACTGAATAGTCATGCTTTAACACCAAATAAAATTGAAAATTGTAACAATAATACAAAACTAAAATGACCTGATTCCCTTCTTGCTTGTTGTTTGTTGAATCTCTGGAATAACTAAAGTAGCATTAAGAAACCGAGAAACCGCAACCACATCACATATCTAAAAGATTATGAAAAATATTACAACCCAATTTAAGTATAATGGAAAATTGTATCTGCAATTAGGCAATTGAACACAGCATCCTTACCGAGCTCCTAATCTCATGGAAACCACCTTGTATTCTGACAAAAATGTACCCATTTGTCTGAGCACTAGGACCTGCTATAAGGATGTTGCGTATAGAAATGCGTTAATCCTCAACATATGTATACACATTTATGGCAGAAAAAGAATAAGAAAAACAACTATTGGAGCCTTACAAGTAAAACAACTGAGGAACCAATAATTCTATGTTTTTGAAAAGGGGAATCATAAAATGCAACTCCAAATAGATACAAAGACATGATAAATCAGAGATTTTGTTTGCATAGAGATGTACCAATAAATTCATCAATATGATGCTAACTTAAGCAAGAAAGTCCCAATAGAAAACAAATATTAAGAACTATTAAACATGACGCATCAAATAACACAGTTCTAATGACCACTTTTAAAGTAACATGATGCTCAATAAAACTCCAAGTTTATAGGTTGCAAATATAAAGCAGTTTACAAGTCAGGGGGTCAAATTAAAAGAGAAGGCAAACTCTAAGGAACGTGAAGGGCAGTCATCCACAATTTTCTATCTAATCTCCCCATATATTCTAGCACACTAATTTTAATTAATTTATGCTATTTTTAGTCCTTCAAATCCCACCAATGTCAAGAAGTTTCAAAATCTTTCATCATCGCAATTGTCTACAGAAATTGGTTAGCGGTAAAAAAGGGACCACGCATTTAAAGCATCCTGATAAAAGAATGATAATAACAGGTTCAAAATCCTAATCACTCAATGTTAGAAACTTTAACTTAAACCTCTATTAACTAGATTTTAGGGATGGAAAATATGCAAATTTTCATGAATTTCACCTTCTGAGTCAAGTTCTTGGGAAAAACAAATGAGAGCTAACCTGCATAGTATCCTCTAGGATTTGCATCTGGGTGTAGAGATTCCAATTGCCCCACTGGACGCCATAGTCTTCTATACAATGGGCTCTGCATCAACAGATAAAAAGAAAAACATAAGAAGCCATAATTGTTAAATAAAATCTAACAGAAAGAATTGGCTTTAAAATGACCAAAACAAATTTAAAACCAAATCAAACTGGATCCAAAATACATATTTCAGCTTATCTTCATGAAACAAACAAATAACATTAATATGGGCATCTTTGGTAACCGAAATGGATCCAAACAAAACTCCAAAAGAGCACTGAAACCAAATCCACATATCCTAAAACAGGAAACCAAAAGCAAAAAGCTTTAAGAAAAACAACCAATGAGCAGAAAGCAAAACACGTCAAATAAAAAAGAAGCAAAATTTAAAACCCAGAAAATGAGATATTGAAAGCCTAAAACTGTGCACATTACCGTTCTTGAAAGGTCTGAAGTTTCAAAAATAGGTCTCCAAGAGAAGACTGTTACTGATGACTGGTATTCTGAGAAGCCATCTTCAGTGAATCTAGCTAGCAAAAAGTGTACAAAGAGTGAAAAAGCAGATAAAACTAAACCAACTAAGCCAACCCATTTCATTCTAGACTTCAGAAAGGCTTTCCCTTCTTTCATTTCTCTCTCTTTCCAAAACCCAACGGTATGTCTTCTCTCTCTACAAATGAGAGCTTCAAGAAGAGGAAACAGAAGGGGATGGAGGAGTCAGTAAAGAAAGTCAAGAGACAGAGCAAGGGAGAGAGAAAGCGAAAGAGCGTGTGTTAACACGTGTGAGAACATGTTTTATAGTTAAAAAAATTTATAAAAAAAAAATACCTGAACGAACAGGGGGTGTTGAGTTGTAACTTGTGAGGGATCGGACAATGCTATTGCTAATGCATGGAAAGATTTTCTTACAGTTACTGGTCCACTCTCTTCTTCCGCGCGTGTACTGAATTATTATGGAGATTTTGTCCTTCGCTCCTTATCTCAAATGGAAGGGTAATACTGAAGTATTATGGAGATTAAAAGATTTCCCTCAATCTTGTTAGTGAATAAGTTTTGTCAAATCGATTTTGGCACTCAATAATTATTCTTCCTTGGGTCTCACTGGTAAACAATTTTAGATTGAATCCTTATTAATCCTGATTTCCAAGGGCAACAAGTTAACAGGTTTTGTTTCATTGATTAACATCTTTCCTAACAGAGAAAGGTGCAAGATCGATTGGATATATATTTATTCCATGGCAACATTGATGTCAATAATGTCACGCGATGTAGGGCTTTAGTCACGTGATGGTGAAAATTCCCTTTTAAGGGGTGGTTAGTGGCTGGAGGAGGAGGGTGGGACTGTGTCCTTTTACTGGTCCCCTTGTAGAATCGGCCAAGAGAAAAAGAAAACTATGAAGAGACTGGAGGAATCCTTGGGTGATTGATTCATTTGCCAATGGAACCTAGTAAAAAGGGCAGTGAATGCAGGCTTGAATTAGAAGAAGAAAGGGACTGGTGCGTGAGAGAGAGTGGCGTTTATAGGCAGAAGGACTGGAGGAGGGGTGTCGTAATGAGCAGTAAATGCATTTGGGTTTGGGATTTTATTGCCTGATTCTCAAGGTGGACGGCTTGCTCAAAAGTTACATATTTATGTCGTTTTCTGCCATTGGGTGACCCATCATCACCCAATGGCCTTGTCATCAAAAACAGGCTCTGCCTAAAATCAACGGTAACCATTTTTGAGTTCAGAAATTCACCCAACCAAAGGAGTTGGAAAACCAGAAGCATTGAGATGCCAAAAAAAAAAAAGACAATAGGAGCAACATATCTTCATTATATACCAACTAAGCTTCTACTCTTATACATCAATTCGACATACGAATCATAATTAATTAATCAACAACAGTTAACAACAATGAAGGTACATAACTTTTATCCAATCCCCAATGCAAGTTGTGTTCCAACACTACCTTTTCGTATATCAAGAGGCCATTCCCAATATTATCTCCTTAATTCCAACTCAATAAAAGAGATGAACCTTTTTAGCCTTCGGGGGAGTTTGTGCCGCCCATCATGACTCAACTCAACCATTCCCTTTGACATTATGAAGACAAGGATTAAAAAAGGGAGAGATTCCAAGTTGCAATTTTCTAATAATAGAAGAGAGGACGACAAATTAAGAAGAAAACCTGCCGAAAGCATGTGAACCCCCAACAATCCCTACGTACCACCAACGTTTTCTTTTAGCAAAAACTTGGTTTTCAATATTATGTTACTATTTTTAGCTTTTAGATCCAAAAATAAGAAATTATTCCATGATTGAAGGTCGGGGGCAGATACAATTTATATGCTTTAAATCGACATTTTGGTAGGAAAGAGTGAAAACCTTCTAAATTTAGGCAGCATCACAACTTATTAACGACACCAACTTTCTTCAGCCATGCATTACCTTTCACTATGTCAATGCCAAAGATCGAATATAATCTATGGGGTAATGACTAATGACTCTTAATATTGCCATGCAAAGTTGGATTATTTATTTTTGGATTTGATGTATTATGTAAATTTTATTTTTAATATTTGAAAAAAAGAAAAATTAAATTTACTTTTTAAATAAAAAATTATGCACCAATCAATGAATGTTCGAATAGATATTAAGTATGTAATTTAAGTAAATATAAATTCAAAAAAAAATTCATAACTACCATATTTACTTAGCAGCAACATTTTTTGCTCTTTACTTTTTTTCCTTCTGTTGTACTAATATAAAAAATATATATAGAAAAAGAAAGATATTGCAAAAAGCTTTAAAGGTTGAGAAGAAGAAAAAGATATAGTTTTCTACACCTTTCGTTTTAAAAAATATATAATATTTTTATGGATTTAGAGAAATTTATAAAAAAATTTGACCTCATTGTTTTTCACCATTTAATTCCCATGCTAGGGTATGAATGAATTTATTGTTTTTTTTTTCTTTTGGAAATAATGGGGAAAGTGTATTTGACATTTGGCAAAAAGGAGAAAACAACATTAACGATGTGATGCTTTTGGATTCCTAAAATTAAAAAAGAAAAAAAAAAGGGTGGGAAATATGTATAGGAAGATAACGGACAAAGGTGGAAAGCAAGATTGAAAATGATATGCACTAATGTTTTGTTGCATCGAAATATTGTCAGTTTGTCACCTTTTGAATTTACTATGCTCCAAGCATATACTTCATGATTTTCATTTATGAGTTACCGAATATAAGTTTTATATATTTTTTGTGATCACATTCAAAAATTGATATTTTCTCATATATATATATATTAAACACTATAATATTATTTTATCAACAATTATATTTTTTACAAGCTTATTATATTATCAACCTATCAAACGTCTCCTAAATATTTCCACATTGCGAAGGATCAACATAAAATAAAATAGAAAATTTTAAATCACTTGTTTAACGATGTAATTTTCTAACCCCAAACTTCACAACATGACTAATTTTTCTTTTTTTTTTTTGGTTAAATTGCCATCATCAACCTTTGCTTTAGCCATTGCAAAAAGCTTCATAGGGACAAATTAAGGAGGGGCCTGTTTGCCACCGCTCGTACCCAATACGAAGGTCCTACATTTGCTAGATATTTTCATCTCACTTTCATATTCACGTCATTTTTTTTAATCACTACTTGTTCATTGTCCATATGTCTTCGAAATTGAATGTACGAAAACCCTGAGATTACATTTATATCCAGCAATACCTATTTTTGTATCATGTTTTGCTCCTACATACATGCATAAATTGAATACTTTATTCTTGGAAATTTATACAAGTATGTATAAATCATTTATAATTTTAATATATTAAAAATCTTGAATTAGAATTTGATATGTGAAAATGCAGACGAATCAAAACCATTTTTATTTATTATAAGTTTATAATGACGGACAACATAAAAGTGCTATGTTTATTCTTACGAATAAAACATAAGGTTTATTTGTGTAATTTCCAAATCTTCTGGATATTTCTAATCAGTAATATTATTAGCAAAATAATTAAAGTTTAATCTAAGGGATTCGCAATCACTCTGGAGATCAACTGATTTAACTGCTCCACCCACTTATGATCTCGCCACGTTACCGTCCTCTTACATGGCTCCATCTCTAGCCACCACGTGTTCCTCCTCACCCAATGATAAATTCAGTAAATCTTACTCCTTTTTTTTTTCTTATTTAACCGTTAAAACTCCTTCCCCGCTTCTCTTGAAAAGAAGTTAGAAGGCATATCTCAAAAAGCGGGAGAGAGAGAACAAGAAAACTAAAAAAAAAAAAATCATCGAATCATAGCCGTTGATATAACTTCTCATCGCTGATTCGACACCGTTAGGTCTCATCAGCGGCGGTAGTTCTCTCTCTCGTTCGTTGCTCCGCCGTCCATTTCCTCATCTCCGGTGAGTCTCTTCGTCCTCACGTTCCGTATTATTTATTTATTATTATTTTAATCAATGCATAAAGGTTCTCTTGTTCTTTATATTTTGTGAATTTTGAAGAATGAAATCGAACTGTCTCTTCCTTCATTTTTCATTTTAATGGAAATTATTGGTGCTTGTTAGAGTATTGAAGAAGGCGACAATAAATGAGAGAATATCATTATTTCTGTTATTTTTCAATATTATGTTTTAGTAAATCATATTATCTCTTTGGAAAAAGGAATAAATTCAATAGATTAGTTGATGGAATTTTGATATTATCTTTTTCTTGAATTTTATTTTGAAAATTTGACAAGATGAATGTTTATAGTTTCTTAATCAAGGATAGTCATTGACAATTCTTTAGATTTTGTTTAATTTTTTGTTATTTGCTTTTAGCTTTCGGAAGCAAAAACGGAAAGCACGTTGGTCACGTTGGATAAGCAAACAATATTTATGAAGAATTATGAGAAACTATATAATTTGTTTAGATAATCAAAATGAATAATGTTACTTCTATACAGACTAATTATGTTATAATTGTGTTTTATGCTTTAATGAGTTGTCTGTTTTTTATCAATTATTCTTTTGCTTTTCACCTTTTACTTTTGCTTTGTAGTAAGTTTCGAGAAGAAAAAGCTAATTGAAAAAGGTAAGTACGAATTAACAATTTAAAAGAGCCTTAATAATATTCAACCTTTTGGCATAAATTAAGGTGGCTGGCTTTTGAGATTTGATTTTTTTTTTTTTTTTGGGTATTGCAAAGCCATATCAATGTTGCGCTAAGATTTTAAAGTTGCATTTAAACTCCATCATGGAAAAGGTAACAAGGGAAGTAAAGTCTAAATTATGGTCTACGATGTAAGCCATGTTTCAAGAGGAAACCTTTGGCACTTTCCCTTGGCTGGAATGGATATGTGGTCTATTATTTTATTTTTCATTTTTCGCATTTAGGATAGATGAGCACATTTAAAGTTGATGGCAATATTTTGAGATCCTGACAAAGAGGTTTTCCTTTTAATGATTATTATTATTTGAAGTATTGATGATTTTTTTTTTGTTCCATCTCTTTTGAGAATCAAGTTATAGGAAGTACATAATAAGTGGTTAAGTTCACTTTGACTTTGGTTCTTTTGCTGTCTTTGCTGGATAGCTGTTAATTTAGATGTAGAATTTACAGGGCAATAACTTTACTTCAACTTTAGTTCTTTACATTTATCTTTGAAAATGAAGTTTAATTAATTTTAGTTCCCTTTTTCTATTTTTATTAATGAATCAGTTTTTCTTGTTGATTCTTTAATTTTTCAATTAGACAACAATATCATGCCTCAATGTAGCAGTTTCACTACATTTTGAATCTGCTTTTTCTTTTGCTTTACAGAATCTGTCCCGATGTGAAAATTAAGAGTTACCAATTGAGTTCTACTGGGTTGATTATGAAAGTTTACAACACCAGCTTTTCCATTCAAGTTTTGCCAGCGTTTGAGTTTGGCGTCTGCTTGAGAGAAAAGCTCTCTGCTGTCGCCATCTCCACTGCTGGCACTGAATTCTATCGATTCTCCTCTTCCTTTCACGTGTCTTGATCCAAATTGTCTGTATATAACTGGATGGCTGTTGCAGCATTTAAAGGACTCTTTAATGGTGAATGTCGTGGAAATAATAGAATGGAAAGAAAACCTTCTGGAAAAAGACGTGTATTTGTTCAGACCGAAACTGGCTGTGTTCTGGGTATAGAGTTAGATAGGAGTGACAATGCCCATACAGTGAAACGGAAGCTACAGCTTGCTCTTAATGTACCAACAGAGGAGAGGTCTCTCATATATGGGGATGCGGTGTTGAAGAATGATCTAAGTACTGTGAGAAATGATGCTCCACTTCTTCTCCAGAGGAACTTCATGCACAGGAGCTCATCTACGCCATGTCTCTCACCTACCGGGAAGGATCTTCAGCAGAGAGATCATAGTGGTCCGATTGAGATATTAGTATGCTCAAATCACTTTTCCAGGACAAAGAAACTGGTAAAGGAAATTGTGAAGGCAATGAAAATTGGGATTGATCCCATTCCTGTATGTGGGGGGCTTGGAGGTGCCTACTATTTTCGAAATTGCCAGGGTGAAAATTGTGCAATTGTGAAACCAACTGATGAAGAACCTTATGCTCCAAACAACCCAAAAGGTTTTGTTGGCAAAGCCCTTGGGCAGCCAGGATTGAAACGCTCGGTACGTGTAGGGGAGACTGGCTTTAGAGAGGTAGCAGCTTATCTTCTTGACTATGATAATTTTGCCAATGTGCCCTCGACTGCTCTTGTGAAGGTCACACACTCTATTTTTAATGTCAATGATGGAGTGAACAGAAACAAGCAGCAAGAGCGGAAGGAGGTTAGCAAGATTGCTTCTCTGCAGCAGTTCGTACCTCATGATTTCGATGCCAGTGATCATGGGACTTCAAGCTTTCCAGTTGCTGCTGTTCATAGGATAGGGATATTAGATATTCGGATCTTGAACACTGATAGGCATGCTGGAAACCTTCTGGTCAGGAAAATTGATGGAGATGGAGGACTTGGTCAAGTGGAGCTCTTTCCAATTGATCATGGCCTATGCCTGCCTGAAAACCTGGAGGACCCTTACTTTGAGTGGATCCATTGGCCGCAGGCATCAATTCCTTTCACAGATGATGAGCTTGAATACATATCTCATCTTGATCCATTTCGAGATTCTGAAATGCTTAGAATGGAGCTTCCTATGATTCGAGAGGCATGCCTTCGTGTCTTGATTGTTTGCACGATTTTCCTCAAGGAAGCAGCAACTTTCGGTCTGTGTTTAGCTGAGATTGGTGAGATGATGAGCAGGGAATTTCGAGGTCTGGAGGAGGAGCCAAGTGAGCTTGAGTTCATATGTATTGAAGCGAGGAGATTGTTAGAAGAGAGGAATATGCTTTTTGATAATGTGAAAGCTGGAGAAAATGACTTTCAGTTTGAAATTGACTGTCAGGAAGAGGAGGTAGATTTAACTTCTAATGTAGAAAACAAATTGGCATCCCATGCTTACTGCAGGCCTCTGGGTGGAAATATCCGGAATCCACTTTCCAAGCTAGATGAGAACATAGAGGAATGGACAGAGGAGGAGGAGAATACTGTACCTCCAAGGTTAGATGAATATGCTTTTTCTGCTCATGACTGGACTCCAACTGTTCCAAGACTGTCAATGTCAATGAAAAATGTGAGTATTGGAGAAAAGAGTTGGAGGCATGAGGGTGCAATGCAGAAAAGTGGTTATTTGGCTGGCACATCATCTGGAAACAGAAGTGTGAATGAACAGCTGCCTGGAAGCACCAGTTTTGTGAAATTGGCTGATATCAGTGAAGACGAGTGGGTACAGTATCTTGAGCATTTTCAGAGGTTGCTTTACCCATCATTTTCTAATCGTACATCACTGAGCATGGGTCAGAGGCAGAGACAGAGGCTCGGAACTTCATGCCAGTTTTGAGTAGTTAATATTTCCAAATTGTAGAAATTGGAAAGCCAAGTGTTAGGGCTTGAGGGTTGTTGGAAGCAGCAAGCAGTATCATGTGGGTAACTTGAAGGTTTTTCCTGGTAAGGATGGACTTCATTGATGAGTTGGAGTTATTCTCATTGGATTTATAGTTTTACTTTTAGATCATGAAAACTGTGGTCATTAGCTGCTACAGGTTAGGATTCCGTTCAATTTTCTTCCCCTCTTCTAACTATTTTTCCTTCAACTTTCACTCTTTCGACTTGGGTTGTTTTCCCCACTTGTTTTTATATATAAATAATTTGGTTGCGCCGCTTTGTATCTTAAAGTTTTGAGAATGCTGAATGCTGAATACAATAAGGAGTTTGCAGGAAATAAAATGAATGTACATAATGCTATGATATAGTAGATTTGGATTATGTGAAGTTGTTCCTGTGCTTTAGATCTTGAATGCCTAGCACTTTCTAGATGGTTGTTATAGTTTTGAGCAGTGTAGCCACTGTTGTATACAAGATTATGTGACGTAGCTGAACTACTTTATTTCGATGTTTTAACTCAGAGTTGGATTAGTTGTATCACCCCTGTTTTTAGAATTTTAGACTTTTAGATTAATGGGAATCAGGAGATGTCATATTGTCATTATTTACTAGGCTAATTATTGCTCTCTTGCTTGTTATGGAAAAATAAATAAATAAATAAACCCCCGTATTTGCTTTCTTCCAATGGAAATTAATTGTTGCAAAATAATAATAATAATAAATAAATAAAAATGAGTGGATAGGTTTCTTGTGTTGTTGGTTGAAGTTCCATCGAGCTTATAATATTACTTACTTAAATCTTTTAGAAATATTATCATTTTGCAGGGTCTTGATTTTTGAGTTTCATTAAAGTAAGGGTTGTTATATTTGGCAATTTGTAATGTCTTGCCTCAGTGCATGTAAACATGTTCGCATTTACATTAGCAAAAAAAAAGAAAAGTAAATAAATAAATAATCTCATTTACATGTATGTAGGCTTGTGCAATTCCTAGCATATATACACGACAAAACACATTAAGGATTCAGCTGCAGCTTAATTTGGGTGAAAGTGCATTTTAAGGATGTCAAGCGTGTAGAAAGTGATTGTGAAGGTTGTAAGAGGAAAAATTTGATGCATTCAATAACATCTTGATAACAGTGTGAAGAGGCTATTTTAGAAAAGAGAAGTTTCAGCTAATAAACTTTTTCAGTTCAGTCGTCTCGGTTGGTATATATATATATTCTTGCTTTTTTGCTGATTAATATTAGTGGCAGTCTTTATCGATGACTGGGTCAGTTTGTTTTGCCCTGTGAAGTACGTTCTTATCTCTTTATGATTTGATCGATTGATTTGGAAAGAACAGAAGAACGGCTTGCTATCAATTTTTATATTAACTCAGGCAATTGTTTAAAGGTTCCATCCTGGAGTTTTGTTCCTAAATCTGTGCCATCCGGTGATACGAAATAATATCTCCTTTTGGGGGTGAGCAAGCAAAAGAAGACACTTGCACCATTTCATTCTTATTTTACATTTTTGATAGATGAGGGCTTCACTGCTCAACCCATCCTTGATAGCATTTGAACAGTTTGAAGAGGCAGAGTCGATGCTTAAGTAGTCAATCCCTTTGTTCCAGGCATAATCTATCATTTGGTAAACAGCCCAATTGCCCACTATCTATTGTTTTTTGGTTAGAATTCATTGATGTTGGCAATCGAAGTCCATGGCAGCGAGAAGTGGAGATTAAGAAGTTTTTATAACTACTGTACTAGATCATGAGGGGTTTGTAATCCTAAAGCACTAATTTAGTGGACACCATCTCTCTGTACTTGCTCTCTTGTATGCTATCAACAGTATCACTTGCCATACGCTTGATTGTGGGGCAAAGAACAAAAACAAAAAGGAAGGAAAAAGAAACAAAAAGCAGGTGAAAAATGCAGTCATGGTCATTCAACTAGTCTCCTTCACGCTGGCCAGCTTGGTCAGTTCTATATGTTGATCCTGTATCCGACTCATAATTCGTGAAAAATCTCCTTCAGCCAAAGACATTGTGTCTTCTTTAGCAAGGCGCCTCTGTTTTATCTTGAGTATGGCCTGTGTTACTTCACCTATCGAAGGCCGCTTTCTTAGTGATTTGTGCAGGCATTTATGAGCAACTTTGGCTAGCTCCCTCACTTCTTCAATCTTGCATTTTCCAACCAGTTGGCTATCAAGTATTTCATCAACGCCATCTGGACTCATAGTGGCCTTACAAAGGAAGGTCATGTCAGAAAGATACCAATATATGAATAACTGGAAGCGGGACTTTACCACAAAAGGGGAAGAAACTCACAAGATTAACATATTCCATTAAGTTTTGGTGTGGGTGGATGGCTGTAATTAGCTCAAATATGATAACGCCAAAACTGTATATGTCACTCTTCATTGTGAACTTGTTCGTGGATATGTACTCGGGATCTATGTAGCCATATGTACCTTTAAGACCAGAGTTTCGGCCGTCGTAAACCTCTTCCTTTGACAGCCCAAAATCAGCAACCTAACAAAAGAAGCCAGTAGTAAAGCTATGCCGTCAGCCCATCATTATTGTCTTGATTTTTTTGGAAAACTATAGAAGAAGAGGATTTCAAAAAGATGACCCTTTGCGTACTTGCTCACCTTGGCTCTCATTGACTGGTCCAATAATATATTAGCAGACTTTAAATCACGGTGTATCACTGGAGGGACTGCCTGTTTTAAGAATTCAGTCAATGATTAGTTTGTTTAACTACAGAGAACATCAACTTTATACCATTCCACTATACCCCTTCATGAAGATATTCTATGCCGTGTGAAATATCAAGAGCAATTTGAAGTCTTTCTTCCCAACTCAAACTCTGTCCTTCACCTGAGTACATGTACAACTAGTCAATTCCTGTTAAGGAATCAGGATTCACATAATAGTACAACAGTGTAGATTGAGGTCCAAAAAACACCCAAATCTGGATGAGATTTCAAAAACGTGGCTGCAGAAAATATTTGACAGTGTCTGCCTTACTGCAACAAAAGTATAAAGAATGTAATAGCAGTAGTACTGTAACTACTTCATTCAAGTGAACTTGTTATTAATAAATGTGTGGATGAAACAGGTTACTTGTCCTTCAGTTTACATAATTTGACATGCAACTAGCACTGCTCAGAGCCCTCTAACAAGCCTTACTTGCAGAATATTTGATGTTCAACATGCTTGAATACATCATAAGAGAATTTGGTCTATGTTGACAGTTAAAACGAAAATGATAACCGACTGCAGGTTAGATGTGCCTGTCCATGGGTCAGGCCAAGCCCAGTTGACACCTTTAAAAGCTAGGTGCAGGTCTGCATCCAACCCGCATTGGCCCTCCCATTAAACTTCATTTAATTAAATTAGTTTAAATTATTTAAAAATATTTTAATATTAATTTTTATTATTTCTAAATATATACTAAAATACAAAATTAAATAGAAGATAAATTTCTATTTTATATAATAATATCCCTGGCTGGCCCAAGCCATCCAAAGGCCTGATGGCCTGCCCGACCTGTGGACAAGTCTACTGCAGGTCAGACCAGTGGCAGTGACAGAGTCCCTAGATTAACAGCCACTGTGGAGTGACTGAGAGCTTTTCAAAGCATAAAATGAGGTTTTCAACAACATTAAAAAGCATTTACTTTGGAAAATATCAGCTGATAAATTCCAATAAAAAGTGGTTTCTGAGCTTACTATATAGAATGTTTGCCAAGCTCCCATTACTCATGAACTCATAAATTAACATGCGCTGCCCTTTATCGACGCAATATCCTACCAAGTTCACCAGATTTCTATGATGCAGCCTTCCTAGTAGACAAACCTGAAAAAAACTAGGTTTAATGATAAAAAATAACATGATATGTAGCGTTTTTTTTTATATGTAGATTATTAAAAGTAAATAATATAAAATGTTTGCAAATGAACATTCATTCCACCCCACAGCAGAATAGGTATATGTGCAACCCTTGCAGTTGCCTAGATAGAATTATTGATGAATGGTATAAGATAAATATGATATCAAAATGCAGGTTGCAGCATTACATTGAGATTTCCTCCATTTCCTCTACTTGTATGGGCTATTCAGATATTCCATCTTTAATAGATCTTTTCTCAAAATACTACAAATTTCTACCATCGTAAAGACAAAATCAGATGTTAGGTTTGTTTAGTAATTGAGATGGACCAGTCCCCCATATAGTCAGATCAATTAAGGCAAGTACCATTAATATACAAAACTTACCTCTGTGTGGAACTCTTTCTCCCCCTGATGAGAATTGGAAGCAAGCACCTTTACAGCCGCTACTCCACCAGTAGGCATTGTGGCTTTATAGACTGGACCAAATGATCCTTCTCCTAAAATAGTTGTAAAAGTTTGTGTAGCTTTCTGCACATCCCTGAAAAGCATAACAAACAAGAACACATATCAGAATAAATCAGTTAAATGCTCATTTTGATACAAACCATCAAACATTAATCATTTAACTTAATTAGGAATGGACTATTGGTTTGTATTTACAGAAACAGATCAACTCCACTCTGAGGATTAGATAGCTCCTTTATGTAAGTGTAGAGGGAAGTCATAAATAGCACAAGTTATATTCACTAATAAAGTAGGGAAAATACAATTTAGAACGTGAGCTAGGCTAAATTTCATATATTACTTCTGTCATAATATGAAATGTGAACTTGGTAAGCCTCTAGACTTGATTTGGATCTGATATTCCTATGCTTAAGTAGCATGCTTATGTTCAGTTTAGAAATGAACTTACTTATAGGAATACTTCGGCAAGCCCGATGCACAAGCAAAGCGAACTTTACTATGAAGACTCCACCAAGAATTTGGAGAACTTTTCTGATGATATTCTGGTCCCTGAACGGCTATAGAATTCGAGAGAGATGCACTGAAGTCAGTGCTTGTACCCAACCCATTTGTTCTTATAGGGAGAACTGTAACACTACGCTCATTTGAAGACCGTCTGAGGTTTGCACGCTTTTTGTACCACCTTAATCCAAAAAATACCAGTGAAGCTAACAAGATACCAAGGGCCAAGCCAACAGAGATGCCAATGGCAACTAAATCACCTTTATGAGCCATGCTTTGGTTTCTTTAGGTATTCAGGCAATGAGAACATCTTGCAGTGGAAAAATTCTGCAGGTTCACTGTAATAAGATGAATATATTATTATATCCATTTCAAAGAAATCAAACAACAAAAAGGTTTTTAGGGGAACTGAAAAGATGCCATTTCAAATTAGAAAGCTCAATGATAGCTCTTATTCTCTTTAAGGCACGCAGGTAAGCAGAGAGGGAAGCTTACAGCAAATAAGAACAAGGAAAAATGCTGTAGGAAGATATTGCCATTACCAGAAGAAAACCTTAGAAACTACATTCTTAGACCCTAATCAGACACCAAAAAATAAAACCCGAATGATAAATTTTGTTGTTTGACTGGAAGTTTTACCAGTTCTCCAGAAACGGATAATCCGGGAACAATAAAAATTGCAGCAACAAAGCATAAAATCAAGCAAGTTTCCATTTTTGCCTTCAAAAACCAAAATTTTGAGGTATTAGAAAGACTAGAAATGAGATATCATAAGTTGCAATAAATTCGAAAGGCACCCCGGCTCAGCTCTGTGTTTCACTATTAAAAATCTAACCTAAACTTTCTGTTTATAAAAGTTTCTTGACACAATCAGTCAAACCGTTTTCAACTAGCAGCAACTGCAAATCTGCCTATGCAAAAAGAACATCCAAAGAGAAATCTTTATTTCAAAGCCTCATTTTGGCTTAACAAGCTTTGCTTTCTTCATATATGACACTGTTAAATCTTTCTTCATATATGACACTGTTAAATCTTTCTTCCTAGTTTCTAAAACAAACTAATCCTTCTGAACCAAAATTCATGGTTTAGAATATGTACACATAGATCATCATAACCTTCGTTCTATCAAATTTCCAATATAAAACACCCGAAAACCAATCAGTGATAAACAAAAAACCAAAACAAAGCAAACCCAAGAGCCAAAACCAACCAAAGAAGAGAAAAAGAGCAGATTTTTAAGCAAAAGGTATGAAAACCAGCAAACTGGCCATGAACCCATACCTTATGAAAAGATGATCAGCAAGTGAACAGCCAAGACATGGCGATTTTTTCCTATGATTTCGATGTTTTAATTATCCTTTGAAGAGTCACGACTCCAGAGCTGACAAAAGTCACAAACCACTTCAAAAAGATAAAAAATTAAAAAAAACTGTAGACAAAAAGAGAAAAAGACAGAGTCTTTGTTGGAGGCTTTAAAATTAAAAACGAAGAATGTGAGAAGGAATAATAGAGGCAATATCGGGGTGGTAGGCCAATAAAAGCAGAGACACCCATTGAGCCGGCTAAAGAAACTGTGTTTAATTGGCTGCTTAGTGATAAAAATGGAAATTACTTAGAGTTATCCGCCTTTTACAATGTCATCATTTTTTTAATTTGATTGGGGTTCTACTTATAAAGAAAGGATGATTGATTGGGATTCTTTCTTCCTATTTGTTATTCTTGTTCTTGTTTATTTGTTATTAATTTTATTATTGAAAGATCATAGAGATTGCAATTCTATATGCTTATATATCAGTAGTAAGCAAGGAATAATAAGACTAACCAGAGATTGACTGAATTGTTAACTTTGTTCAATGAGTAGTATTTTATTTAAATTCTACTATTAGTTCATCATTGACATTAATCCTCGATGGGTGACTTTTACGAGATATATATACACATTTTATCTTGTTTTGAAAAGTTAAATAATTTATTTATTTTTATATTTTTAGATAAAAACGTAAAGAAAAAATAATAAATGATAATATTTGTAAATAAAAAAAACTAAATTATACATTCGAGCATTTAATTCAAACATTTGATTATATGATTTTGTTATATATAGAATATGGTTCAAATATCTTTTCCCTCAATTTTTTTTAAAAAATTAAATTATATTGATAATTTTAATATTGAAAGAGATGGACGAAAAATATATAATGCAAAATAATTACTTAAATTAATATCCTGAAAAGAACATTAGGATGTTTAAGATTGAAAGTCTAATTTAGATTTTATTAAGCTTGAAAGAAATTATAAAATGAAGGAAAATAAATTTAAAGAAAAACTTCTATAACTCCTCAAAATTAACATAGATTTATTAATTTTTTTGGATTAAGAAAATTTTGCAGGTAAGTTATTATTTTTTATAAAAATTTTCTAGCATAGCCTCTTCCAATTATACTCCTAATCTTTAACTGTCAAATGTTTACTAAAAACATGGAATAGCTTTCTTGGTCATTGCTAATGACTTTGAGCTTCTTTTTTTTTTTTAATTTTATAGTTTTTCCTAACTAAATAAAATTCTAGAGTGCATTTGATAAACCAATGACATTGAAAATTTTCAATAGTTTAATTTTTTTTAGTGTAATTGAATAATTCATTTCAGAAACTATTTAAATAGAAGATTTTCAATTAAAAAGTATTAAAAATCTTACGTAGTTGGAGACTGCTTAATGTATTAAATCATTTTATTGTGGAAAATTTGTTATTTAATTTATTTTATATTTTTTCCTTTTAACTTTTATTAATATAAAATAATCAAAAAAATCAACAAAACATCTATATAGTATTTCGTTTTCAATAAAATATCAAACAAATTTTAGAATAACATTTCAGCACTTAAAATTTTTTCAATTTATCAAACAACACTTTACTCTCTAGGTCTCTCAACATTCAAAATTTTAAATTGCCGTCGCATTTACTATGTTATCAAAGTGAAGTACCCAATTTTTTATTTATCTTAAGTTTTGATAATAAAAAAAAATCTTCTTGATTTATAATATAGTTTATGTGATGGTCTTTGAAATTGAGTAATATGATTGAAATGTCATTTCTTGCTTCCATCAAAATTTTTAATAAGAACTTTTGTAACTTGTCATTCACTTCACATGAATTTATGATATTGTAGTGCATCACTACTTATGAACATTATTTTGTTTGCATAATAATTTTGTGAGATTTGTTGGATTTCACTTTCAAAAATGCATAGATTAATTTTGATCTTCTAATTCTTAAAATAAGAGGTGCCTTTTCAATTTAAGATGATGACCATCTATGCGAAATAAAATGGAAAATACATAGCCTTTTTTTATAATACAAAAAAAACCCTTTGTGATATATATATATATATATATATGTTTGAAATTAAGATTAATACCTATCTATGTACCAAAATATATAAAATTAATTCCTTTCTCTCTTATTTCTTTTTGAGATAAATCTCTCTGTATTATCTAATTATCAAGACAAGGGTAAGTACCCTTCTAGGAATAGCAACATGGTGTGATAAGGTAGTTGAGCATTTTATATTAAATGTATTTGATCTCACATAAATATTAAATGAATATAAACACATATAATACTAAACAAAAAACAGAAATAAAAATAAATAAAAAATAAGATTTTTATATTTTATAGAATTTATATTTGATACATTGATACAGTGCTAGCTCATCAAAATAGGCCATTTTATTAATGAAGTAAAATAAAAAAAATTGTAAAGATTTAATATTAAATATTAAAAAATTTATAATAATTAATTAAACAAAAAATAAAATATTTTAACTTTTCTATCTCTCAAGGACAAACTAAGTTTTGTATCTCCTCTTTTGTATCTCTCTCGAACTCCATCATCTTTTTCTCCTCTCCTTCCTCTTTCATTAAAATTAAGTTTTGCAGAATTGTGCAACTTGAAGAGCAATTTTTAAAATCTTTTCTTATTCTTTTGAACCCTATTAGAGATCTCTAATAAATAAATCTTAATGAGATTGAGGGAACAAAATTCAAATAAATAAATCTTATTAGTATAATTTTATTCAGTAATAATAAGATTAAGTCAAATATTTTTCTTTTTCCGTAAACCATGTCCTCACTTGATCATGTTGTAAAGGGAAATTCATTGTTGCTTTTGAAAAAATGACTGATCTTCATTTAAAATTTTAAAAACGTTTAATTTAATTAAAAATTAAAATAATCATATAACATATCATCTAAATAATAATTTTGGATTAAATACCAAAAAGCATGTAATTTGATTTAACATTTCATGTTTATCTTTGAGTTTTTGATATTTCTCCCTTCTCTGGTCTGCCTTCATTGCTCTTTTGATTTCTGGTTCATTTCTTGTCTGCGACTGCTGTGTTGTTTTTCTGTACAGCAATATTGTCTTGTCTTTTTTGGGTTCTGTGATGCTGGTCTGTGTATTGGAACAGCTTTGTTTGAGTCTTCATGCATATTTCCTGCCGACTCACACTTCTTTGTGATCCCTGCTTTAATAGAGCTTGTAATTCAAAAGAAAAAAAAATTTATTGGTATTTTGGGTTTTAGTAGAATGATTAAGTAACACCTCCAGGAATTTTGGTATTGATGAGAATTTGGGCATAAAAAAAAACTATGAAAAGAAATTCTTTTTAATAAAAATTTTTAAGATTTAAAATTAATTATTAAAAATTTATAATGATTAATTAAAAAAATAAAAATATATAGTGCATTTAAAAATTTATATAGTGAAGTTAGATTTACAAAAATATTTTAAAAAATATAAAAAAGTATTATTAAAAATATTTTTAATAACACATTTTAAAAATGTGTTATCTTAAATCAAATTTGTTGTAGTGTATATATATATATATATATATATATATATAGTAAATATATCTTAATTTTTTTATTCTTTCTTTTTTTTAAAAAAAAAAAACTCTAGACTTAGTTGCCTCCGAGTCAATTTCAAACAACAATATTTAGCTGTGATAAGGTGGAATATGATGGGTAGGGGTCGAAATTGCCATCTACATGCTCGGTATAACTGGGAGGTAACATTGGCAATTTAATTTGAATCAAATAATTAAAAGGTTCTTACCTTGCAATTTAATTCCAATCAAACAGTTAAAAGGGTTTTTTCCTTACTTACCTATAGCAGAGATAGGAGAAAAACAAATTAGTACAAGATGTGCATTAATTGTTTATTATAGACTGGCTTCTCTTCTAAAATATAACAAAATTTTTCTGCATTATGTCTGGATCAAAGGAGGTCAAACTAACTGAATATGAGAGAAATATAGTAATAGTTTCTCTTATCTAATAATTAAATTGCTAGTCAAGAAGCCGATATAGTAACATCCTGACATTAACAAATCATGTAATTATAAAGTTTTGTCATGCGTGAATTTTGACGATCTTTATATTAGAAATTTACATCTTTTAACTATATGCTGATTTATTGGTTTAGAGTTATTACATTATGAATAGAATTTCATTTTGTACGTTAAATCTCATAAAAAAAATAGTAGTGGACAAAAAAGAAAATTGAAGTACGTAAAGACAAAAAAAAGGTGAAACTGAATTTGCCGGTTGTTCTTGAAGTAGACCCATATTTGATGTTTATCCAACAACTTCAAATTTGGAGAGGTTGACAAAGTCTAGTCGTAGTTGACCGTAGAAAAGAATTATTTAAATATTACTCTCTTTTTGGCCTTGTTATGCTTTCAATCATAAGAAAAAACATTTAATATTCCTTTGAGTGAAATCATGTATGGTGGCTTCGATATGTCTGCACCAAACCTTTCATTTACTCCTAGAAGTGACCTGAAAAGGAGACGTATGGAGACGGATTCGTTGATATGAACTTGCTAGGAGAAGTTTTTGATTGGAGTTGATCTCTTATAGGCTTTTCTAGATAAGTAAAGGTGTACAGATCTAACTAAGGACCCTTTTTTGGCCTAATGGGATTCGATCATTTGGGGATTGAGCACCACCCAAATGCTTCATTTTCTTTTCTGTTTTAGAGATATCTTGGAAGAGGAATTCTGGAAATTCTATGGTTCTTTATCTTTCAATGTTGTGTGAATTGAAAATCCACATACTGTACATAGCCTTAGGTTGGGCTTTTGAATATATATAAATTCTAGAAAAACAAATTATGGGTTTTGGTGTTTCTTTTAGTTAAGGGGTTTTTGAGTTTTGGACAAGTTGAGAGACTTTGGTGAACAAACAGCAAAGAAGATATGGAGATTTTGTAAGATTTTGTTAATATGTTCTTGGATTCTGAATGGTGCAACATTGATTGGGCATAATTAGTTCTATTTTGTAAATCTTCCTGATTCTTGTTGGCTTTTTACAAATTGCAAACATGTTTCACTTTAGTTTTCTTCTGAGTATTTTTCATTGTTGCCTTTTGTTTTGTTTTGCATACTAAAACTAGCTGTTTGGATTGTTATAGAAAAGCCTTCAATGCCCAGTTGAATATGTCATATAAAG